AATAATTTTTCTATTCCCCTCCCACCTCCATTAGTATATTACATTATATGCACACGCTCTCACTTCAACCCCCCTCTCACCTCCAATGATCATATTTTTCTCTATTGAAAATTCTATTAGAAATCTAATGCATGACTGACTATACCTAAGGCAATCAGTTCCCTTAGTCAATGGCTCTTCAGAGCATGTTTCTTCTGATTTTCTTCTGATTTCAATTGAGGTTACCCCCAATTGAAAAGATCACATGAGAGAAATAATTCTCTTAACATGACCTTCAAACAAGTGATATGACTCATATGACAAAACAATGTTTGCAAAGAATTTGGGAACCTTTCATACAGCATTAACTGAGCAGAGGGTTCTTGATCATGAAAGGTAATTGACAAGAGTTATCAATCTTGATTTTTAAATAATCTATGACCTTATGCTACTATCTAAATGCTATGATGCTCATACCCAGATATGGGTATTGGTATCAGGTAAAACCAAGAGTCAGCATACTCTTAATGAAGTTGAAAGGCCCCCTCTTAAAAATAAAATAAAATAAAATAAAAAGGTCTCTCAGGGCATCCATTATAAGTATCTAAACTTTATGGATCTTAAACAGTTCCTCATGAAACTAAACTTCTAAAGCTCAAAACATTTTGTTATTCCATGACAAAGCACCTCATTCTTGACTCAACTCAAATCATTCAGCTCTTATCTTGTTAATACACTTGGCTAGAGAGATCAATTCCTTCATACCAATTATTCAAATTCCACAACCTAATAGCTGTTATAAGGTCTTGATAAAAAAAAGAAAGCAACTAAGTTCCACATGACGTATTTGGTTTGGAAGGAAGAGACCGAAGAGTGTACAACAATATGAGAAAGGTTATAATCACTTTAAATAATGGGACATCCATACTGAGTAAAATGCACTTAATTTAACATTAAAAAATAATACTGACCTGATTAGCACAAATACACACTGCAGGACACCAGCAACCCCTGTCCATGTTGATGGTCCGGAAGACACCAAGGCATCTTGTATAAGTAACCCAACTGATGCCGCAAGAGATACAAAAGATACAACATAAGCTAGGAAAAGCCAAAGCTTCAATCTGTAATAACATTCAGTAGAAGATATCAGCATATTATAATCATTGTTGTTTAGCAGCAAAGTTAAAATCCAATTTCACATGCAAGCAGTAGTTCTACAGACTACAGTATCCTGTCAAACAATAGCTGACAAGAACACTTATCATAAGCAAACTAGAGAGTGGTATGGAAGGAAAGGCTCACTAAAAGAGTGTTTTGAACCACTCAATTCATTTCTCTTCTATAACTCACATTTCCTATTTCCTTAGTTTTTTTAATACTTGCAACACTTTCCTAAAATGCAACGCACAATAATTAGAAGGTTTTTTGGGTGAAAAGTTGTCATATTACCTTTATTTAAAACTCACAATCCAATTAATACGTAGAAGTTAGTAATACTCCAAACAATCTCTCAACCCCATTTTAAGTGTATTAAATAATGTGAGCCATACTTTTCTTAAATATTGTGAAAAAGTGTGTAGTGCAAGTATTAAAAAAGAGAGGATGTATTTCCTTTTTATTCCGACCCCTATCATATGTGTTGCTTTATAAAAGACTACTCATATAACTCCCCTACACTGCAAGATTGCATGCTACCCTCTCAGTATCTATATCTACATCACTACCATGATTGACTATACCTGTATACCATCCTAGACCAGCCCATAAAAACAATGTATTCATTTGCAAGCAAAGTAAACTTAATCAAACCTCCCTGATCACTATCAAATGGAACATCACCACAATCACTGTCTACACAATGCCTATCCATGATCAAACAAGGAGAGTTTCCAGGATGGTGATAAGATAAAGCAGTAACACTGAAACCAAAAAAGATGTCACCTTTCCAAGCACAGCTAATAGCCTAATATGCGGATAACATCATATGACCACAACAAATAATTCTAATGTATGATCAAAGTAAAAACTGGATCCAAGCATTTATACATAAAGGCAAATAATATACTCGAAGGAACAATTAAATCATCAAATCAAAAACTTTAGCTTAAAATTTTTACTGCATTACAATAAGAATAACAATCAATCAAAATCCTAAAATTAATCGAATTGCAAACAAAAAACAAAAGTCAGAAGCAGTATTTCAAAAAAGCAGACCTCCACTCGCCTTCATCGTAAGGGGAGTAATCAATATCCTCTTTCCTGACACAATTGAACATCAAAGCAGCCAAAGATGCAAAAATCCCTAATTAAGAAAAGGCAGAAACCCTAAAATCAGTAATTGTTGAAAGAGAGAGAAAAAAAGCGAGGAGAGAGAAAATGAAGAGAGAGAATGGATGGAAAACCAGGAAGATAGTGGACGAAGGAGACGGCGATGGAACTGCAAACGACGGCGTCGACCCAAAACCACCAACCCGCCCCGAATACGGCGCCGGCGATACCCGGCCCGAATATCGCCAGTAGCTCCGGTATATCCATTCTTTTTTCTTTTTTCTTTTCGTTCTTTTTTTGTTTTTTTCTAGTGATTGGTTTTGTTTTTGTAATTTTGTTGCACTGGAAGAGTGTGGAAGTTGAGAATGATAATAATTCTAGCCCGCCCAAAATACAATGTCAACTTTTTTTTTTTTTTTTTTTTTTTTGAAATACAATTCAAGGGTTATGCCATGGGTTATTGTTGATTCCAATTTTATAGTTTTGGGAAAAAGAATTACGGAATAATTACTTTATCTTATAGAGAGAATAGATATTAATAATTAAAGGATAAAGTGGTCATAAATAAGGTGTAGAGATTTTGCGAGATAGAATTTTTCGTAAAAGTGATTACTCCAAACTTAGTTACACATGACGCTAGCTTAGGACGATGAAGTAGCGGAATAAAAAATAAAATAAATAAATTAATTAGTGGTTATTTGGTTCATATAGGAATTAGAAAGTAGAAGTTCCCAAAATCAAATTACTAAAATTTAGTACTTATCAGTGAGAATTTGCACCTATTTCCTACATTTTTGAGAATTTACAATTCCCAAAAAGTTTCACTTCCTCCGTTACATCAAATCTATGTCAACCAAATAACACACCTAACAAGTCTCACTTCCTATCTTATTTTATGTCAATCAAACAAAGCCCCTAAAGTAAATGCTCAAAGGCATTTAGACATAATATCCTCCAACACATAAATAAAGTGAGACGATTATCAACACTTGACATTTTGATTATAATATGTTCAACAAAACCATACTAAAGCCCAAACTCAATAATCATATAACATGGGTTTTATCTTAGGCTAAGTCATTGAAATTTTATAGAAAAAAAATATGTTTTTAGGTGATATTGGAATTAGTATAATCACCTTGCAAGATCACAATTTGTTTCCTAGTCTTGTGGGCTAAACGTTTAAACAAAATTACCATATTATTAACATTTATATACTTATTTATATGTTGAAAAATTATTTATATAGCCAAGGGAAATTATCAATATATGTATTATTATTAAATAAAAGTAACAACTAATTTAGGTATTACTTAAAGTCTAATCTAATACGATTATTTTCAGTTCAGTTCAGTTCAGTGCAGCTCTAATAAGTTCAATTCAGTTCAACTCTAATAAATTCAGTTCAGTTCAACTCTAACAAGTTCAGTTTAGTTCATTTCATTTCAGCTCCTAATTTCCTTCTCTTAAAAATATTCAGTTTAGTTCAGCTCTAATAAGTTCAATTTAGTTCTAATAAATTCAGTTCAATTCAGCTCACTTCAGTCAATCAGAATAAGCCCTTATACTACGTATTAACTTTACCTTCTTAATGTAAATATTGTATTACATAGGTACAACTTTTTAGAATAAAATAAATAAATAATATATCAAACCTTAATCATATTTTCCCATTCAAATCCAACTTTTAATACCTAATTATCTTGAAAAATAACGGCCCTAATTTGTTTTTGCATCCAAAAAGAAGTTTCTTAACAAGGTCATTACTCATTAGTATTTACATGTATTATTTTTCTAAAAAAAAGGAATTAACATGTCAGCATTATATGCAATAATTTGCCGGCCGAAATCCACCAGAAAAACATTATTCGAATAGAAATACAAGTATAAAAGCGCATACACCGTAATAGCTTCCTAAGTATCTTTTACTTCGTACTTCCATAGGATCTCTACCAACAATAACAGAAGGCCCTTTCATAGAATCTACAGCAATTTATATAAGTGATAACAGTAGCCGAAAATCACACAACCAAACGGACGCAACATTAAATAGGAATATGAGAGCACCCTGATCTTACAGAGTACTCCGTATTACTCAGAAAACCAAAGCAAAGCAATGCTCACACAAGTGAGCTCAGGATTAAGCAATGGGAGAATTTTAAAAGCGAAATCTTGAAATAGTCACCACTTAATCTCTTCCTGGTATTTCCTAGACAGCTAAACCAGAATCGTACCAATTTTCTACATAGAAAGATTCAAAGTTAAAACATCTCTTACCAGAAAGCTAATCCCAGCTACTCAGAGAACTCTAATGATCCGAGGAAACTGCTTCTAAGAAAACTGTAATGATCCGAGGAAACTACAGCAGTTTCTGTGCAAGTTCTTCAAACTGATAGTAACATATATCTCAAACAAAACCTTCAAAATCATAGCACCATGGGCACCACTCTTCCAAAAAAAATGAAAGGTAAAATACATGAAGCAACTGAGCATCTCCTTTTCCAAGTCTGCGCCATTCAACAGGGGCCTTCAGATCACAAGTAGAAGACAGCCAGTAAAGAATATTCACAAATTAGCTAGAATGCCAAGATTGAACTTACCTTGCTGATTTTATCAAGATTGAGGCTCCACAAAGATAAAACTGACAAATAGATCGATGGAAAGAGTGCATCCAAATTAACATATAAATAAACAAAAACCTATACAGGTGCAAAGAAAAACACAAATTGTACTCAGATCTCGATCAACAGTGGTCAGAAAAATAATTTAATTTTTGTATTGATCTGATGTCCGAGCGATTACTTCGGAACACTGTAAGGATATATACACTAACTTTACAAAACATTAACAGCAGGTGTATCCTTCTAGCTTGCTTACAGTTACAAAGGCAAAGCAAAAGAAGCATCTTGCTATCAGGAAATATAAAGGGAGGAAGCACTTGCGGCCCCATAGAACAAATCAAAGATCAAACCCTCACCCACTGTACAATTGCTCTGAGAACGAATATACAACAAATGATGCCAAAATTTCTCTAAACAATCGAGAACTTCATGTCATGAGATAAGCCCAAACCTTCATCCAGGCATCAATTTGAGGCTCATGCTAGGACAAATGCAATCACATGAGCATCAAGAACAGTGTAAACCATGATATTTCACCCAGAAGCACAAGCCATGGAGTAAAAACCTTGCCAATCTAATCATCTACTTCTTCTCTTTCAACAGAATTATGCCTGACTGGCTTCCCATTGGAGAGATAATCAATAGGAACATAGATATATCCCTTTGGTAACCGCCTATTTTTCAAAGATGCTTGGTCAGAAGTCATAACCAGCTCCTTCTCAAATGTTTCAAGGTGCTGCATACAGGCATCAAATAGATACATAAAACATTAAACATAACGGCAAATTCCTCGAAAAAAGTACCACCTAGGCTCCAAGTCTTCCAATAAAAAAATTAAAAATAAAATATTCAAGTCTAAAACAACATTAACTAGGCAAAAGAGATAGCTTTTGAGTTTTGAGGAGGATTACGATGCTAAAGATTATTATGCAGCTTTAACATAAAATAGGAGATTTCATAATTCAGAATATCCACAAATTAGATATTAAAAGCATTAACCATATTCTTATTAAAGTAGTTGTAAGCCAATTGACAGAACTCTCCTATAGTGAGAAAGAGCACTTGGTAGAAGGATAAACAATTTTTTAAAAAAAAAGTTACATACCTTTCTGGAATTTAATGAATTATCCATGCTTTGTGAGAAATCACGACTTGCCAAAGATGCTCTAACAGGAATTTGCTTCCCAGCAAATGAACCCCTGTCTGGCGGCTTTGGTACATGATGGCGTGATGTAGAACTAACTTCAGTTTTTTGATCATTATCTATAGACCGCGGAAGCCTGATACACCGCTTTGTTGATAATGCACTATCAACAGTGATGTCATCAGATCTTTGCATTGCATCGCTGCATGACCTAGAACCATCCACATGCCCCTTAAGGGATGTGGTAGCCGAGTCGGAACTTTCATGAGATGAAAAGGGACGTTGTACAAGCATGGAGAAAACCAAAGAATCTTGTTTCGAAGCAAAAACGTCATGGTTGCAAATAACCAATTCTCGCTGCAATCCATACAATTGGTCAGGAACTCAAAATAAAACAGTCCTGGGTTACCTCTTACAAAAAAAATCAAAAAATAATTGACTATCTCAAAGAGTTCAAACAAAATAAACATGATTCACATGCAAAACTAGTAACAGAGACAGCAAATGCCAATTACTTGCATGAAATGGCTGATATTAAACCAGTAACACCCCACTATCCAATGATAATTCACTTAGTTTTAAAAACTGGACCTACGATCACAATTCATTTAAAAACCATACAACTACTATCCAAGTTACTAAAATAATCTCAGGCAAAAACAACAAAAAATAAATAAAAAATCAAAAAAACAAAGCAACATAAAGGCCCAGCATACTAAACAAAAAGAAAGGTGCATTCCTCAATTACCTTCAGCTTTTCCCGTTTGACAATCCTCTCACAAAGGAGACGTAACTTTTCCAGCTCAACCTGACCAAAACAAACATAATAGTTTCGTTTAGAATTTTACTTTGATTATAAAATAAAATGATCTAGTTCACATGCATTGAGGCAACATTTTTCAATCGAGATAAGAACAAAACACAAATGTGCATGAAAAAATCAGCAGTCATTGTTCCATGCCCACAACGAGAAAATAAAGGAACCAACTACCAAAAATTCTACCAGATGTTCTAACAGAGAAAATAACACACATCAAAAGTTTATGTTATCACGTGCACATATTTACAATCACAATACCATATATTAAGTGTTCCAAGATTGTGAAAGGAGTGCCGCATTGTATAAAATTGAATCTGCAAGGTTCTTTACAGACACAATTGTCAAATAATTCTAAACTGTTGAGACTAAATCATTGACCTTTGACAATGACATCATACGATAATTGCAAGGAAAGATCTAAGAGCTAAGTGAGCAAAAGACAAGGCCCATCCACACAAGAGAGAGAAACTGCAATCTGGTAAATCTAACAGGTTCAACAGATGGTGTATAAGAGCAAGAAACAAGGGGAAAAAAACTACTAAAATTGCAAAATCTCCAGGAACCAATCAGTTGAGAATAGACAATATCATAACAAGCAACAAGAGCTTATGCGATAAACAATGCAAAAAACTTCCCCCACTCACCCGATGTTGCTTAACAATTTTTAGGTCTTCAGCACCATGCTTCTGCGTTTCAGCCTGATTACCAAATCATGAGGAACTAGTCACGACAACAATAAAGAGCAAAACAAGTATGGAAAAGATTGAGAAATAAAAGATAGACTTTACTTTTGTTCTTTGCTCCAAACTATGCTTACTGCAATAAGCTTTATGCTGCATCTTGCCTCCACCAATGTATTTGGTATACATATAGTAGTCAGCAGACCTGGCACATGATGGGTGGAATGTAGACTGACAATTGCCATAATTGCACTACACAGCAAGTGTGAAAGGAAAGTCAGCTTAACAGCCTCCGCAAAGGTCAAAGCAAATTTTTCTACTTAGAGCATGTTTTGATTGAAAATAATGTATCAAGGGGATAATGAAAGACAGACATAAAGAAAGGGGTGGAAGAAGATGCTTCTAGAAGGAATGAGGTCGTAATTTTATAAGGGAGGTATGAGGGAATTATTTCTCTAATTTTAGGGTCAATAGTTACCTACGATCACACTAGGGTAACATATCACCCCTAAAATGGAGGTAGTAGACCTAGTAGTTCTCCCTCCCTCATCAATTATTACCACATATCATCATTCTCAATATCGTCTTCATTACCCATTTCATATATTACTCGCAATCCTAGCATGCCATAAAAACTCGTAGACATTCACCTTTATGCAGACACCAAATTTCTTATGACAGACACAGCACATGTCATTCCCCTTCGGCACTGTTTCCTGGCATCAAAAGAGTTGCAAATTTAACAAGTGCTAAAAGACAACAAATACAAGGAATAACCTTTTATATAAAACTACAACATTGGAAACCCATTAGAAAACATAGACCTGGAAGATGTCAGTAGAGCTGAATTCAAATAGTGGAGACATACCATTCCTATAACAGGAGACACCTGACCTCTTTTGAAGGTTGAATCAAACACCCACTACACAGATAAATAGCAAGCAGAAATCCATTAGAGCCTTGTAAGAGAAACAAGCAGATGACAGCAAAAAATTTCATATTTTACCTCAGCACAGTATGCATGGACCCATTGACCATTGCTTGATTTTCTAAACGCACCATTTGAAGCCCCACATAATCCACATTCTTCGATAGGATTTGAATTCTCCCAAGAATTAACGGTAGCTCTAGAAACCTTGGACGAAGATGATTCATCACATAATTCACAATACCAGGGACCGGTAGATTCCTTGACACTGCGGTAGCAATTTAAATGAACTGCAACCTGATAAACCCACCCCCCCAAAAAAAAAAAAAAAAAAAAAAAAACACAAAAAAAAAAAGAAAAGGAAAGGTGTCACATCAATTAAATTAACAGAATCAAGTCAACAGGTAAAATATGATTTAAATTAGGCATACCTTACAACTAGAACACACTAATATAGGATTCAGTAAACTCTCAGAGCGTCTGCATATGTCACATGATTTTGGATGTTCTTTTGGTGTCCCAGAAGCAAACGGAAACACATCAGAGTATCCGTCTGATTTTGCCTTGGGAGCATCCAAGGTAGGGTTGGACACCTTCGTGCATGGAACTGACAGTGATGATAGGCTTCCACGAACCATGCCACTTTCCACCTTCAATAGATTCTGAAAGGGAAAATGATAAGACATCAATAATTACACGAGTGAAGGGAATACTGCAAAACGGCTACTACATGACAACCAACAAATAGAATGGCTTGTAATTTAAAACCTCTTGCTGTGAAGATTCATCAACCATGTCTTTCCTCAAAGACGAAACTCTAGACGAAGCAGCAGCAGCAGCAGTGGCAGCAGCCAGTACAGCTTGGGCTTCCTTGTGCCTTCTCTCCTTTCTACCCTGCTTCCTTGCTTCTTTAAGCTCATATATGTACTGGTTAACATGAACAGAATCCCATCTACGCTTCCTTACTGAATCCATTTCATTTGGCAAACTATTGACAATCTTGCAAACTAGCTGATCTGCACAAAATGATGACCAAATTAAATGACCCAGCAACTAACAAAATGAATACAAACACTGGGAAGCAGAATCAAAAAAGGACTCGGAAGACAATGTTAATGATGAACCAATAAATCAGACATCAAATCACCCTCAAAACTAGAAGGAATACTACTGGAACAAGTAACTGACCACTCTTACACTTCAGAGCAACAGTATTGCATAACAATTGCTGTTGAAAAAAGATTATTTCTCCTTCCAATTCATTTTCAGGGGAAAGGTCAGAAACACCCATCTCATCAGCCTTCACTTCTCTTTCCTCACCCTCGCCATTACATACTGAAAATTTCTTTTCAGCATTTACAGTCTGCTCCATAGCCCAAGACTCCAGTTCTATACAACCTACAAATACAAGTAAAGTTTACATTCATCCTACTTTCAGAAATTGAGCACAGACAGAAAAATGAAACCCAACCATTAATATCAGGAGTTCTTCGACTAAGCCAACTTTGCACTTCATCTAATTTCTTCTGGATGTAAGGGTGCACAGAAGAATTGATTCCAGGTTCACTATTTCTGCGTTGTAAAATGAGATTTGCTAAACAATTCACCCCAAATGAAGAGAAAAACAAATTCTAAGCCTATAACAAGCACAAATATTCTAGTAAGATGAACTCAAAGAGATACGAGAACATATATGTGAAAAACTGAAAACTAATAATTTGACAAGAAGGCTTACCCATCACAATAGCCAACTGTATAAACAGAAGAGCAGGAAGGAGTATCATGGTCCAAATCCAACAATGAACTCTTTCCAGAAGAAGTACCCTCTTCTGCTCCATTATAATCAATATCAAAATGGCTGTTTGGTTTCAATATAGTACCTGAACAATATATGTGAGCCATTAAGCTAGCCGGCAATCCATACAGCACAAACAATTTTATAAATTACTTAAATTTTTTTGAAAAGATTAATGCAACCAAAGTTTGAGCAGCAAGATAGAGGCAAAGCAATTATTTATACCTAGTGGTCTTATTCAATAATTTTGACTTAAATACTAGAGTATATAATTAACAATTACATTTAAAAGAAACAACGTACTATCAGATGTAGGCGAAGCATCTACTGTTGGACGTTCAACACCAACAACCATAATCTGCAAAAAGATAACATAGCCAATTTCAACAACGATACACTCATTGAATCTTATAATCATAAAGGTTACCACAAATTTTGAACATGAAAAAGTGATACTCAAAGTGCTGAACAAATTCAAAGTTTCATCAAAATTATAGATCAATAATGACTACCACCAAATCTAAAAGATAAACAGAAAAGAAACAAGTGTCTCTTCACGTTCCCTTTAACTTACAAGTTGAGATCATGAAACATTTGGACAGGAAGCACATGGGAAACCAATTTTAACTGATGGCAACTATGACGACAACTTTACTTTAATGCCTATAAAAAACGTCCTTCACAGTAAAGAACCAAACTTTCAAAAAGTGTTGACCGATTCTTTTGCGTAGTATAGTCCTCTCAGGCACTCTCTCTTCATTTGACCCTCATATTGTTTGTCATATTCCCAATTACATTACCAACTTCTGACTAAAGAACTCCTATTTCAAGAAAAGGACTAGCTCCAATCACATTTTCATTTCTCTCTTCACAATATACACTTACCAACTCTCTTTAATTACATGAAGTCAAATCTACTTTCTCTCTCAATATACAATTAATCACTCTCTTAAATCACAGGAATTTACATCTACTTCTCTCTCAATAGAAATTACCTACAATCCAATTTTCTCTCAATCCAAAACTGTCTCAAGAGCCAAGCTAAACTTGTAAGCAATCAACTGTTATGGGCTTATCTAATTAATAGAAAAGTAAATGTGATAGGAGAGTGGGAAAAAGAAATAGTTAAATAAGAGAAGAGGTATAGCCCTAACTTTCGGTGGTGAAAAGAGAGAATCAATATGGGAGTAAATATTAGTGTGACGATGCCATAAATTGAAGGGTGACATTTAAATTGGGACAAAAGGGGGTATAAATTGTATCACCCACATCTACTTTTAAGCTCGGATATCAAAACATAGACCCACCAAATGCTTACTAAAACACTTAAACATTCTGAATGTATAAACTAATTTGCACTTTGCAGAGATGACATCAAATAGCAACTTCATCACAGATCACAACCCTAATGTCTTCATCAATAAGACTATATAAAGTAAAATGCAGGCCTATCATAGGATCTTGATACAAGAAATAAAAGTATTAATGTTACAGAAAAAAGAAGCTAACTCAATCGACCCATAATATAATAAATCAATAGCCAACCAAAACCAGAACATAATACACTTGACACAAAGAAATTGACAGCAAAATGATACAAGATGTCACCTCTTCAATGCTATTTGAAATTGAATCTTTACTCTGTTTTTCATGATCATTCATATCTTCATGTTCTGTTGCCTCCTTAGTTAATGCACCATTCCCTAGTCTTTTATCATTGCACAAGGATACATCTTTGTCCTCATTCAGAATTCTGATGTTTCCAACTGTCCTCCTCCTAGGAGGAACTGACTTGACAGGAACATCATCTGAAATATCAAAGTGTCTCAAAGTAACAGCATCAGTCCTGTCATCCGTATTTAACTCAGCTTCTGATGGCATCAAGCAGCGAAGTTTCTCTCTCCAGTCCTTTGCTGCAGTATCCAGGTAAGAACGACCTTTAAGCCACCTTAATAGCTTGAAGTACAATTCAGGGCTTAACTGATTGTCCTGCAATAACAATTTGATTGTCACACACAATGAGCATTTGATTACAAGTGTAACTTTATAGCAATGAAGATATACAAATGTATGTTAAGCTAAATTCATATTCTATCTGATCCATAAATTGTCATATAAAAAGAACTAGAAATTACAGTGAGCCTTGCTGCCAAAGAATCCTCTGAGATGCCAATTTGAGAAGCAATGTGTTCCATACTAATTTTTCTACGATCTATTAGCTGAAAAGGGAGGGAAAAACATGTTACAATAAATCTACGGAATACACAAACAGAACCCCAACTAAGTGCTAATAAAGTGAAACTAATAGCACGCACCTTCTTAAGAACCAAGCCAAGATCAAGAAGACGAGATGTCTTGACATCCTCACATGCGCCTCCTAAGCCCATATCACTTAACTTCTCCCCATCACCTGATCCTAATTCAAGATTTGTATTGGAGTTTGCATCTTGTCCCTGGTCCTGCCACTCTCTTTCTCCCAAATTATTAGAATCAGCATCTGCTACTCCGATTTGTAAAGTAACTTTATCTCCATTTTTACAGCCTATTTTGAGTTTCTTTATTTTATTCTCCGGCAATGAAGCTGATTCAATTGAGGAACCAAGTAAATCACTGCCAACAGCATGATTCTGTTCATGACTCTCTAAGGCAACACTGTCATCAGGATTAAAATTCCCAGAGTGTTTAGAACAAAAAGCCCGTAGTTCAATCTGTCAAGAACACAAAATAAAGCAGTTTCAGCCATCATCAAATAGGCCGATACTTGTAGTTAATCAGCAACAAAATACAATTCCAGATTCAAATGTAACTTACATCATCGCAACCAAACCTTCCCCAGACCTCAAGTTTATGTTTTGCCTCCCTAGCACAAAGAGGATGGAATGCAGTTCTGCATGATCCTGCACAATAAATTGCCCCTTCAAAATGTAAAACGGGAATACAACAGACAACATTATGACAGGAAATGTCTATGATGGTAAGACTGCAGATTAGATTACCAATCAATAGAAGTGCATGCACACTATAGAAAGCAACTATTATGCTTGGGAAAATTCAAACCAGCACAATCTAAACAATAGATAACCCAACCTACAACAGTTTATGCAGCTTAGGCATACCTCCCTAGGAGACATTTTATAGTATCACAGCATGAAGACTTTGGTACAGAAATAATAGCATTCATTCATTCATCCATCCCCTAAAATTGGGTTAGATATAATAAATAAATAAAAAAAATATAAATAAATAAAAAAATATATAATTTAAAAAATTAAGCACATTCCAGCCCTAAAAAAGACTCAAGGGAAAAAAAAAAAAAAAAAAAAAAAAAAAGATCTTAGTGGAGAAAAAAATTGCATTAATATTAAAGACAGAAGCATCCAAGAATATAGAACAAGCCTTGCTCTCTACTACCTCTCCTAGCTCACCACGTCACCAGCATGTATTTTCAGTATGAAAAAGCAAAGATAACCTCCCCTCTAAACAGAGCAAAGTACATCCAAAGAACTCACTTGTGCTTTTAGTATCCAATTCTCAATTCAACTGTTGAAAGGCTTTCATTTTTGGTAATAAGGCGTTTGATCAGAAACAAGAACAAATTAAGTAAGCAAGCTCAAACAAACTAAAGATTGGTAAACAAACAGAAAACAGAATCCAAAGAATGACAAGGGCACAATAAATGCCAACCCACCAAACAGGAAAAATTAAACAAAATCTCCAGATACTAGGTTTCCATAAACATTAAATATCATCAAAAGGCTCGCCAAACTATTACATTTAATGGTATAATTGAGGAATTGAAAGGAAATTATAATAAATTAATCCAACAACCAAGCCTTTTACATGAAGCCAAAAGTATAAGCGCCAAAAACCTAAATTCTGAGTAAAGGCCTGTCATACAAGTAGAGATAAATCTTCACTATATGAAGAGTTTTGAGAAGCACACCAACAAAGACGAGAACCATTAACATTTATATCACCACTCTTTTCATTCCAAGTCTCCAAGCCCGTAAAACTCATTCAGACACAAAATTGAAATGTTGCCCACTTGATATAAAGATTTATTAATGCTGATGCGCATAATCAAATAAGCATGACAATTGTTTAAAGATTAGTTTGATTTAGCGCGTCAAACATAGAAGATTGCTAGCATGACATTCTCTCTCTCAAAGTGTAGATTTAATTTGCAGCATTACAAAGATTCACCTGTAATTTAATTTTTAATCCATATTATCAAATGAAACAATGCTCAAAATCTAATCACCTAGGCAAGCCTTTACTTATACTACAAGTTGCCGTAAACCAGTGCTGGAAATAAATGCACAGCACCAGCAATGAGTACACATTGTACAGTTCATTAAACATAATAACTCTAGAAATTCAGCACACGAAAACAGAGTGAATGAGGTAAGCTATTAGGAGCATAGCTGAACTAGGTGCTTGATGAAAATATAAATACAACTTTCTTTGTCTTTTTGAGGCTTGGCGGGGTGAATATACAAGCTATCTACATCAAAGTCTCAATTTGGTCCACATTTACTTGGAAAGGTAGTTAGGCTTGAAACTATATAATATGGCACCAATTCAAGTAGATATATATTGAAAGAGATAAATTTTGCATCAATATGGTTTACCAAATCACTGATAACAAATCTGCATTGAAAATGATTCCATACACCATTCTATAAAAGCTTCATTATAGTGAAACAGTAACAGAACAACATAACTAAGCAAGCTACTAAACATACCATCACTGCATCGGACACATGAACCGAGCTTCAATTTGCATAAATTACACACTAACTTCCCCCGAACATCCTTCATCCCCTGACATAAAACTGGCTCCATTAGCCTGGTGTCATCTATGTAAACCTCTGGCATCCACATACTGCAAAACAGGTGAGTAAACTCAGCAGAGCCATCATTTCCCCTCCCTACATTCTGAAAAGGTTTCAAAGCCCCTCCAGTCTTTGGACAAAAAACACATGGTCTATCACTTCCTGGGGCAGGTCCAGCTTGAGCATCAACAATGTTTTTACACCAGGAACACAGCCAAGAACCATCAATCTCTCCTTGCACCCCATAACACTTCTGGTGGACAACAACTTTACATGATTTGCAAGCAGCCAACTGGTTCAATTGGTCCCCTGAGTCTCCCATACTACAAACATGGCATAAACTGGAGCTTCCTTGACAAGGTTGAGCAACTATAAGTCTTTCCAACCCTGCATTCGAACCCAAAAGCTTTCTTTTCTTTGTAGGACGTGTTGTTGTCAACAATACCCTGTTCCTAGAACCTAAAACCCATTCTATGCTGCTACAAGTCGGCAAAGTATACACCGGCGATGGACCTTTCTCAACTACATTCAAACTATCACTACTTCCATCTTCGATTTTAACATCCGGCAGCTTATCAATATCTTTGTCATCCTCCTCCTTACCTTGCAAACCTCCAGCATCTGGCATTGGAACATTATCATCCAAAACCACCTCCTCTTCCTCCTTAATCGTAGCAGCAGCAGGAATATCAACATGCCCATTTTCTACCTTTTTGATATCATCATTATTATTACTACTACTCCTAAAACCTTTTCCTAAAGCTGGAATTTTTAAGAGTGAATTACTACTATCTAATAATGAATCAAATGAAGTAGAGAATCGATGCAACCTCTCAATATCTTGCAATGTCAGCTCCCTAAAGTAATCCTCCAGCTCAGTCCACAACGCAGAGTTCTTAGACTTCTCAGTAGACCATTTTCGAGACGACGACTTGGTTTCCGAATGTGGCCGCTTATGCTTTTTCTTACTATCAGACTGTTTCGACAACAACCCTGCCAGCCCACTAGGGAGTGTGGCAACAGTTTTAGCCAAAACCTCATCAGAATCAAACGGTGACCGCTCCGACAATGCTTTCAAAGCTTGCGAATAAAAGTCTACACCTAAAATAACAGCTTCAAACTTTTCCGGCGAAGTCATCGACGCCGGCACCGGAGAACTTGCCGGCGGCGAACTCCGACTGACCGGGCACGGCTTCTCCTCCGTTCCACAGCCTCCTTCGGCTCCCCTACACATCATCCTCCCGCGTCCCTGACATCGGCTATTATCGGTCATCAAATTCCACCACCACTCGGAAATTCCATCTACAAACCCTAACCCTAATTTTTCGCCACCTTCACAATAACAATACAAAAAAAAATCGAGATTCCTTCCACAAAAATTGAAGAGAGAGAAAGATAAAAAATGAAATCAAAGGAAGAGATTTAACGCGAAGATGAAGACGAAGTAGAGGATAAGTTTTGCGATTTAGGGTTAGGGTTTCGATTCGATTTGATTTTTATTTTTATTTTTTGGGCGGAATATTTTGTTTTTTCTTCAGAGTTCGATTTCGCTGTCGAAAGGAAGGGCGGAGAAAATAGAGAGAGAAAGTGAGTAATTTTAGAGAGAGAAAGTAAAAGCGGGATTGAGGAGAGAGAAAGAACGGTTCGTGTTTTTTTGCGGAGGGCGGGTAGTTTCTCTCAGAGACGTTTTCTTTCAATTTTTTTATTTTTATTTATTTATTTAATTTGGGTGTGATATGATACGATGTGTTTCATGGTAAGATACGGTGTACTTTTTCGTGGGAGAAATAAATTGGAGATGCTAAATTAGTAAACGTGTCGTCTTTATATTGGATTAGAGGTCGTCATCTTGTAAGAGCATCTAAGAGCAGCGTTAATGGTGAACATTTTAATAGTTCACAATGAGTGAACAAATAAGGTGGTGGCTTAATGGCAAACTCTATAATTGTTCATGATGAGTGGTCATGCGTTCGATTGCAGGAGCGAGCAGCTGGACGAAATAATTCGCTGTGGGCCCCACCAAAATTTTCCACTGATATTCATACAAAACGACGTCGTTTTGTTGTTTCGTGTTGCAAAACGACGTCGTTTTGCTTATTAACGGGCAGAAAAAAAAATAGAAAGTAGCGGCTGGGAGCGCACCACTTGGCCCAGCCGCTGCTTGACACGTGTTCATTGTTTTAAATAAATCCGTTGTAATAATACAACGGATATATTTTATAAAATACAAATCAAAAAAAAAAAAATTACCAACGGCTCTATTTTTTCCCCTCTATAAATAGACACCCATATTGATATACTTTCTTCAGCTTTGAAAATTCATTTTTTTCTACTATTGTTTTCTCTTCAAAAATCCCCTCTATAAAATTACCAATATTATTATTATTTATACCAATATTAATATTATTATTGTTATTATTATTTTTAATTATTATCATTAATATTATTATTATTGTTACTATTATTTTTATTATTATCGTTATTATTATTATTATTTTTATTATTATCGTTATTATTACTATTATTATCGTTATTATTATTATTATTATTATTATTATTATCGTTATTATTATTATTATTATTATTATTATCGTTATTATTATTTTTATTATTATTGTTATTATTATTATTATTATTATTAAATTTTTATTTTTTCCAAATATAAATTATAATTATGGATGCTAATACCAACCCCAAAACAAATAGAACGAAGAAAAAAAAATTGGGTCAAAATATGATCCCGAATCAAGCCAATTTTCCTCCAATTCACCCAAATTTTTCACAAACACCCACAAATATTCCCCATAATTTTTGTGGAGTTTATCCTCAAATACCCCAGTCAAGTTTCCCAAATAATCCACCAAATTTCCCTCAAAATTTTAATTTTTCTCAAAGCAGTTCAAATTTCCACATCCATCCATGATACCAATGGGTTACGGTGAATATGGTGTTGCATCTGGTTATTTTCCGTCACAACAACCGAATCCCAATATTTGGGAATCGAGCAATGTCTTATCTGAAGAAGATGAGGCAAATGAAGAATGCGAGGATGATGGTGAGGGAAATGAAACTCCTTCTCCCCATCAAAACTTCACTCAAATGTTACAGCAACCACTCCAATCAACTCCGGAATCGAATGCAGATGAAATATCCCTACGAACTATTAGTAGTTTGAAGGGAAGGTGGATGCGAATCTCTGAAGCCGTGTTAAAGTGGTGCGGAAGCTATGATAAGGCCCGGAAGCGAAAGGGAAGTGGCTATAACGAAGATGATGTTATCCAAGAGGCCCACAAAATCCATGAGAACTCATTCGGACGATTCACCTTCCACGAGGAATGGATCCAATTAAGGAAGTGGGACAAATTCCGGTCTTTCTTGGACCAACAAACATTCAAGCCTTCGGTGGGACGTCCACATTCAACTCCACTGACGGATGAGTCTGTAGGGAGCGGAAGTAGTGGGAAGAGGACACGGGATGAGGGTGACAATTCCTCACCTACCACACCAACCAGCGTGGGTGTCGGTGATGAGAGAGTAGCTCGTGCTGAAGGTATTAAAAAGGCTAAGTCGAGATTGAAGGGTAAAGCTCCATCAAGTCAAGCATTTAAGGAATTAGAAACATTCAACAGCCGATTGCAGCTACTTGGGGATTCGATGAATGTGTCAAACGAAGCAGAAATGAAGAGACTTGAAATACAGGAGCGCAATGAGGCAAGGAAACAACGGAAAATTGAGCTAGAGCAATATAGGATCAACTGGGAGCAACTATCTCGTCTAAAACAGAAAGTAAACCGAGAACAGTGGGAAGACGAAATGATAGTAATACTTCGGAACAATATTCAACGTTTCAATAATGATGCTTAGTGTCCTTTATTTTTATTGTAGTTAAGTGTGTTCAATTCCTTTGTTGTTCTTCATTTTCAGTAGTGATAAGTTTTCAATTCCAGTTCAACCTCTTGTACTCATTTCCTTATGTTTGTACTTTATCAATTAATCAGTAAAATGGATCTTTTCCACTTTCCCATTTTCATAGCCCATGTGATCTTATTCTGTTTATTCAATTATATCAATTTGTCTCTTTATATATAATTGTGTCAGTATCTTAATTTCCCCTTTGTTAGCCCATGTGAAACCCTTCTTCTCCATTCAATTTCTGTGTGGTTCTAATCCAGTGTTGGTCATAGCCCATGTGAAACCCTTCTTCTCCATTCAATTTCTGTGTGGTTGTAATTCATTGTTTGTCATAGCCCATGTGATCTTTGTCTCTTTATATTCAGTTATTTATGAAGAATAATTACAAATTAGTTCACTATAAATAAACACCATTCTTTCATTTTTTTACACACAAACACATAAATCGTTTGCAGTTACTATTAGCGAACCTCACTCTATCTTACATTTCTTACGTACAAAATGAATTCAAACAGTTTAAACGAAAGCTCAACCGATTCCTCTTCATCTTCATCTAACTCGGATGATGAGGGAAGGGAGCTTAGAGTTCAACAACGTAATGAAGTGTGTCTTATGATACAACACGTAATGCATGAGTACATTCCACCAATTATTCAAGCTGCCACTCAGCAACGCCGACGCAAATCTACTGAGCCCCGAAAGGATAGGGGACGCGAAGAAGGTCATGCACGGTTATACAATGACTATTTCGCGGAAGTCCCAGTTTATCCAAGTTCCTTGTTCCGGCGCCGGTTTCGAATGCGTAAACATGTGTTTGAGCGCCTTCTCAACGCAGTGACCCAACATGACCCCTGGTTTCAACAAAGGCGAGATGCGGCAGGTCGTCTTGGTTTGTCTCCACTTCAAAAGTGCACTGCGGCCGTTAGAAAACTAGCTTACGGGTGTGCTTCAGACGCTTGTGATGAGTATGTCCGTATAAGTGAGGCAACTTCACGATTGGCACTCCAAAAGTTTACAGAAGGTGTCATCAACCTGTTCGGTGATCAGTACCTACGCCGTCCAAACATCGCAGATATGGAAAGATTGCTACGTATTGGGGAAGAACGTGGATTTCCTGGCATGATAGGCAGCATTGATTGTATGCACTGGGAGTGGAAGAACTGTCCACACGCATGGAAGGGGCAGTATCAAGGAAGAGAAGGAGTTGCAACTCTCGTACTGGAGGCAGTTGCGGACAGAGATCTATGGATATGGCATTCGTTCTTTGGGATGCCAGGTAGCTGCAACGATATTAATGTGCTTCATCGATCCCCTGTGTTCGAAGACGTCTTAGAGGGTCGAACACCTCCTGTGAACTCCGTAGTCAATGGTCATCATTATACGAATGGGTATTATCTTACTGATGGAATCTACCCTAGATGGGCTTCTTTTGTGAAATCCATTACGAGTCCACAAACTCGTCAGGATCGTTTATTCGCAAAACACCAGGAAGCTGCAAGGAAAGACGTTGAACGCGCATTTGGAGTCCTTCAAGCTCGTTTTGCCATTATTAAAAAGCCGTCTTTGGCGTGGGATACCGACATACTCCACAATATCATGCTCTCCTGCATCATAATACATAATATGATCGTTGAAGATGAACGAGAGACGTATCAAAATAACGTTAATACCAATGAGTTTATGAATGCTGGAGGCAACTCTAATGAGGACACTACCGAGTACCGTACTGATCGTATTGTGGATATCGGCTTATACTTGTCTCGTAGAACAGAGATTGAGGATCAACAGACTCATTTGCAGCTAAAAAACGACTTGGTCGAACATATATGGAATAAATTTGGTAACAACGAAAACTTAGGCAACTAGGTTTACAACAAATGGTTATCCCTAAGGACATCTTACAAAACGATGTGTAGTTGTTTTTTTTTTTTTTAAATAAAATGTACTAGATTATAGTTGTAGAACTGTAATCACGATTTGTACCTTTTTTTTTTTTTGTTAATTAAAATTAGCTGCGTTGTTGTTTAAAAAATATTAATCACAAGAATTAGTTTTTTAAAAAGCTGATAAAAAAACGCGATAATTTCTTAATTAGTAATCACGATTAAAAAATTAAATACGTCAATTAATTACATTGACATCGAGTTAATAAATTATAATTATGAATTAAATAGATTATATTTACAAAAATAAAATAAGGTGGGGTAGGGTGTATTGATGATGAACCATTGTTTAGTGTTCATTGTTAAGAGTGAATATTGTAAATGGTTTGTTGGGTTGATGTGGATGAGAGAGAAATGGTGATAGTGACCCATGAACCATTTTTTTGTGTTCACCAATAATGATGCTCTAACAGCTGGCTCTTTTTCTTTTTACAGTCGGTTTTTTTTTAGTAACTAACTCACCAAGTGACTATTCCAATTGCGCTATAATAAGCAATTAATTAAGTTCATGGTCCACTAATAAAATATTAAGGTGATGTCTTGTCCGCCTTATTTTTTTACTTGTTTCAGATTAGATTTGAAAAATAAGTTCTAATTTACTTTATTATTATATTAGGTTTTTATTGTTAAATACCTTTAATTTGTAAATTATGAAACTTACTAATAAAATACAGATCATCCCGTGTGTGTAATGGACTAAACATTGTACCTTTTTTCTCTTTTTAGATTTAGATTACACCGTAAAAAAATATTTTGATTACATAGTACATATATATAGTAAAGAAGTACATGCCACCGTGATATTACCATGCACTACATAGAGATAAATGTAATTTATACGAAGTATATATTTGCAAATTTATTTGTTAACCATATATTGAAATTAGATATGATTTTTTTGAAAATATGTATATTTAAAGATTATATTGCATTTTTTTATCTAGTTCCCAAGTATGTTAAATAAATCAATTGCCTCATTTTTTTTTTATCTTTCGTAATAACCTCACCAGCTGGCCAATCTTTACTTCTATAATTATTTTTATATCTGTTATTACTCAATTCATCACCCTCACGTTCAAGTCAGTGCCTATGGATAACACTAGAAGTTTAGCACTATTTAATTATTTATTATGTTGAGTAACACTACCGATATAATCAATCCTTCAATCAAATTTCTCTGCCACTCCTTTTTAAACAAAATCACATATCGAGTGTCTAAAACTTGAGGGTTGGACAAAAACTACTTTCACGTAGCCCATGGACCATACATGTGTTCCCATTGTGTCGAAAGCACCAAAAGTCGAGTCGCACGCCTTAACCCATAGCGCCTAAAGTGCCAACATAAGAGGTACCAAAGATACACGAAGTACCAAATCCCACGATATTAAAGCCTCCCAAACTTGCAATACCATAATTACCTAAGCCAAATACCCAAAGAAGCAAGAGAAGCCCACAAATGCCTTAATTAACTGCGTAGACAAAATCTTTGCTTATAGGAGTGCATCTTGGCGCATAACTCTTATGTGTTATAGAGACAATTAGTAGAGGTAAAATAGTCATTTGACATTTAAAAAGATTTTTTTTTTTTTTTTTTTTTTTTTTTTTTTTTTTTTTTTTTATGGTTTAGTGGGTTTTTTGTGTACTATTATGCTTGTATATTATACCATTACATTATAGGTTGTATTAATAGCGATGTTATATCTCATAGTGGTATAATATTTGATGTATGACTTACATATACTTATTTGTACAATTAGAAAATATTTATATCACTACAACATTTAATGGTATTTATTAACCTATATATATGATGGTACTTTATGCGTTATTTACAACTTAGCAATCCTATTTGTTTTAGGTGTTATGCGCCAATGTTTCTCCCATAGTTAGCATTCAATGAACCTTTTTATACTTTATTATTGTTTCTTCGGTCACTAAAATGGTCCTACCTATTTTACCCGAGGGTAATCTTACCTTTACAAGTCTATTACCGAGTAACATCAAAGGTCTCAAAAGGCCCAAATATGCTATATATATATATTAGGAGCCAAGATTACTCTTACTATATAGGAGAACCACCAGTCCACCACTCCCCTCAATTTATACATTATGTGACATCTAACCTAAGCATTAAAGACTCTGTTTGGGGTTCATATTGCAGGTTTGTATGTGACCTAGATTTGGGGCCTACAAGCAACCCTTAATGGCCAAGATAGTCTTGGTGCGTCTATGGGAAAATGAGCATGGTAACCATGAAAATCCACTAATTCATGGTTATCGTATTTAACCACGAAAATGGCTAAATAATTATAACGAATTTAGCTCCAATCTAAGATCTAATTTTCTTTTGCTAGCAACAATATATACCTCGAAAAAAGAATAACGAGTTATTTTTGTGAAGCTAAATTTTTAAAACCTGACAATTATAATTTATTCGCATATAAAAATTAGTAAAAAATTAACGCAATTTTTTTATGACAAGATTAATACCTTTTTTATTTAGTTAAACTTATTTTTTTTAAAACTAGTTTTGATCGGATAAGAAAAAATAAGTTCAAATTATACTTGATTAGAAGAAATCAGTCGATCAAATTAAGATCAGATAAAATAATTTCAAACCAAATCTATCTATATATATTAAAACTCAATGAGAAGACATGAGCCCTCTACGTGTCATCATGACTATGAAAATGATGTGGCGCCATGTCATACAATTACTATAATTCATTTAAAAAATTAATGAATTGTTAGCATCAATGTTCAAACTTATGAGTCTTAAAAAAAAAAGTTTCAAACTTATAACCCCTAATTTATGAAGATGTTTAGATGATTAATTACCACCATTATTCTCTAGATAAGTAACTCTCATAACCCCGTTCAAGAGAATGTTTAATGAGATTATTCACCTCCCTAACTTCTTTGATGCTTGAGATTCCTCTTCTATGTTCTTTCATGTTAAACTATAAATAGAAGAAACTTTTTTCTAATTTTTACACTTCAAAAATACATCCACACAATAGTCTATACACATTATCTATTGAGCATAAGTTACTTGACTCAAACCCTCCACCTAAAAGGGAACGTGCCGACGAATACAATTGAACACATTGGTTGCACCGGAAATTCATTTTCAAGTCAATGAATTGTATCACGAGACACCATTATTGTTCCATTGTTTGTGAGATTATCTTTTTTATCTTACTTAAATATTTTATACTATTTGTACTAGACTACTCCTTTATTTACAACAAATATAACTAATTTAATCTATATTTACTTTATCACATACGTAATTTTTATTATAAAACCTCATTTATAATATCTATAGTAATATATATATATATAAAGTGAGAAAGACTTTTGGGTGATAAATTTCACTTTATCAAAATACCATTCTCATTTTTTTTATTAATAAAAAAATTTAAACTACCACCTTTAAAAAAAACGACCATCCTTTTTTTTTTTTTGGGAGATAGTTCATACTCTATTATTTATCCTCATGAATTCATAGACATATATTTTTTTTTACTAACATATGGTTTTATAATAACTATATTTTCTAATACCAATTTTTAAACTTACTAATCATTTTATTTTATTTTACTTTATTAGAATATAAGGTGGATAACATTCTGAAAAAAAAAAATCGAACTTAATAGCGTTTTTTAATATTGCACACGCACGCATCGCGTGTGTCTCTTAGCTTGTATATGTAATGACCCGGGACATTGTTCGGCCAAAAACTAGTGAGATAAATCAAATCAGCATAAATAAGATAAACTAATCAAGGGCTAAATTTATGCACTAAATTCTCATTGGCCTTGTTTGGCAAATGGCTGTTGGCAGTTGGCTAGTTCACTTGACTTGTTTGACTAGCTGAAATGTTTGGCTGTTTATAATGGCTTTTGAAATTGGCTGTTTAAGCTGGCTGTTTATAAAAGTGTTTGGTAACTTAATTGTTGGTTGTTGGCTGTTTATTAGATAATTTGTGGGCCAAAAGCCAACATAAAAGCTACTCAAAACAACTTTTTCATTTTGGCTTAAAAGCCAGCTTTTTCGCTGACTAAATGGCCAATTACCAAACACATTTTTTGGCTGTTTGACCACCTAAAAAAGCCAAAAGCTAGCCAAAAAGCCATTAAAAAGCCAATTACCAAACATGGCGATTATCACACTTTTTTTTTTTTTTAAAAAAAGGTACAGTACAATGGATTTTATGCTTCTTCTCCCTAATTTCCCGCTAACACCTTTCTATTAAAAAAAAAAAAAACTCCCGCTAACAAACCATTTAGGGAGTAAATTAGGGTTTTGGCGTCCAGAAAATATTCGCAGATTAAGAAGAAGAGGAAGAAGAAGACGAAAGATGAGTAGAAGCTTGGGAATTCCGGTGAAATTGATGCACGAATCCACAGGTCATGTGGTTACTGTTGAGCTCAAAAGCGGTGAGCTTTATCGAGGTACCATGATTGAGTGTGAAGATAACTGGAACTGTCAACTTGATACCATTACTTTCACTGCTAGGGTACTTCATTTTCTCTCTCCTAGGTTTTCCTTTTTTAGGGCTTTTTTATAATTGCTGGCATTAATTTGTTTGTCTTTGATAGTAGGGTTCATTGATGTTTTAATTTCATATGTTTTTGTGGTTTTGGAATTTTATTATAATGTTATGCTTGATGATGGTGTTTGAAATATAATTGATTTTCATATGAATTGAGAGTTTGTACTTGAGTTCAAAGAAATATTGATTATGTGAGAGAATTAAGTTGAAATTAGTTTTATTTTGTACTTCCATTATTATGGTTCTAATGTGATAATTGTGAATAGTGCATGTTAAGGTGATTGATTAAATTTGGCCTTATAATTTTTTATATTAAGGGTGTTAATTAGATGAAAAAGGTAAGTAAAAAGACTTGGATGCTATAATCAGTAAATCAAGGAAGTTTAGAGACTGGAGACTGAATCATGACTGTGTTAGTTGTTCCGTGGAACGAGGTCTACTGTGGCTGGTATTTTACACTGGTAATTTCTGCTTAGAATAAGAGCTCGCCAATTGATTTCTTTGGAACTTTGGTTCTGATCACTCCTTCCGGTAGTCAATGTCACCAGCACTTTTAATTTTAAGAATGAAGCTTTCTTTTGGGTTGGAAATGGTTGCAGGGTTAACATTCAAGACGCAGAGGAAACTTGGAAGTGTGCAAGAATGGGAGGGTATAATATGCGTATGACTATGATCCTAAGGTTTGGCAACTTGCTAATTGTAGTGGTTTATTGGGTCATCAAAGAACTGTTTTAGGACTCCCACTTTATCTCTGTCACTGATGAGGGCTTTTTTATTCGTAGGATTAAGAAAATATGTCATGATCTGGTAATCTGGTTGATAGGCTTGTGTAATTGATGCACGGATCATAACAGTTGTGCGTAGCTGCTTAGCAATTAGGATAGGGGAAGGTTTGGAGAGGATATCCTAATAGTTGCATAGATGAGTTAAAGGACCTTGAGCTGTAGGTTGTAGCCAGTACACTGAGGATTTTGGAAAAATTGGCCATGAAAAATGATTATGGACTTTCTTGTGATTGTATAGACCAAGGCCTATTGTGGCTTGATTATTATGAAGTTATATTCTAGATTTCAAATTTCCTACCAGGAATTTGTAGACCAAGGCCTATCAGGGCTGATGAATTTTCCTGCTAAAAATTTGAGTTTTGTCTGATATTTACTACTTGCTAGGATCATTTTTAATTGATTATTTCTTTGGTAGTCAATGTCTCTAGCAAGATAATCAAGGACCAAAAAGTGGCATTTGAAGTTGTAGGTAGTTATTCGCAGAGGTTGCATTCGGGTCGTTCAGTCTGGGTCTATTTTGGTCGTTCAATTTTCAAGTCTAGTTCTAGGGATGGTGGGGAGGGCCAAAGGGATTTTCTGGGGTTCGTGTGAGTAATATATTTTGTACGCTTGAAGAGTACTTGTAACTTGAAATTGATGAAAGGAGAATGATGCTTACTTAAAGAAACAGGGCCGGGGGGGGTGGGGGTGGGGGGGCTCTGAAGTGTCTATGCCCAATAACTTGGTCACTTGAAAAAATGTGATTAGGATTTTTATGACTTGGTTATTTATTGGTGAGAAAGTGGCTAATTATAGATGTGTGAGCTGGTATGAATAGGTTTTTCTGTATTTTTTAATAGCTAAGGATTGGAATTAGTGTTAGGGCATGCTAATTACTTCCATAGGTTTTAATGAATTAAGGTACAATCTCTATGCTAATTATTTATTGGTTCCCTAATTTAGTTGGAAATGGTGCTGAAATATGTTATTCTCATGCCACTTGTTTTAGAATGTTTATTCCCGTTTGGAATTGTTAAAATAGTTTTATGTGAAGGATCGGCTGATGAATCATGGGATTTCTTCTTTCTATCATTGATATATGTCGTTTGATCTGTAGGATGGAAAGGTCTCCCAACTTGAGCATGTATTCATTCGAGGCAGCAGAGTCAGGTGAATATCCGTCATAATTATCCCCCCCTAAGGTTGTGTATTTTATATTGTGAGGCTAATTGTGATCTGCAAATTCTTTCAGGTTTATGATTATACCAGATATGCTGAAGAATGCTCCAATGTTTAAACGTCTAGATGCCAGAATTAAGGTTTTTAGCTAATTCTAGTCTATCACTCTCCTTTAATCTTAGTAATGTCTTTAATACTGTATCACATAATTGATTTTCCCTTAAAATTTCTCACAGGGCAAGAGCACATCACTTGGAGTTGGCCGTGGTCGTGCTGTAGCAATGCGGGCAAAGGTAAGATTCTATTGCTGTTGCCTCTCTCTTTTTTTCCCCCAATGTTTCCATATGCTAACGTGTCTGGTCATCTTTTCTTTTATAGGCACAGGCTACTGGCCGTGGTACTGCTGGAAGGGGAGTTGTGCCACCAGTACGAAGGTAAAAATCTGTTGGATAGCAGGTCCAACTAGTCAACGCTCAGAGTCTTGCTGCTTCAGTGTAATTAAATGAGGATTTTGGTGTTCAGGCTGAAATTTCTGTTTTGTATCTGAGTATACACCTGAACCTTAGATGTAATCTGACTTCAGAATGGCAATATCTAGCATATTTGTTCTCAACATTCTGAAAGTGTTTTCATTTTTCTCGAATAGTTTAATATTCATAGATGAAGGTTTCACTTGAGACATCTGTCCCACTTTTGTGTACCTCATTTTGAGCTAGTGTGCAACTCTTTCTATTGATTCATGCCGAAGGATTTTCATTTCTATTACGGAGTAACAAAAATTGATGGGCATAATAGCATATTACAAGTGCTGCCATAGGAAAGTATGGAGTATGATAGTGAAGGAACATGCATATTCGACTTGTGATAAATGACTCACTATCAATTGGTCTGTATTACCTGACCTAAATTTGAATTGTTCACGAAATAACATAGTACTTGATCTTGCCTGACTCGAACCAACCTAAAGCCAATAAATCATACGTTGATTAACAATGAATCCCAATCAAACCCAAACCCATTATATTACTTAGAAAAATTTGGTAATCAGTCGTGAGTACCCAGCAATGCAGCATGGGCAAGTTTTTCTAGAAGCCGAATAGTTTGTTACCCAGCAAGGCTAATTTATACAGGCAAAAGCTCATGCAGGTTGGCTTTAAGTTGCCTTATGAAAAGTTCAATTGGGCAATATATAAAACATATACAGAGTCAAATGTCAGGTATTTGAGGCACTGATACAAATGTGCCAAATTCTGTACCCAAAAGTTTTATGGAAGCTCTATACACCATACTGTTCACACACCTCCATAACACAGCAGGAGGAAGGGAACAAAAAGAGAAGCCAGTATCTAATGCAGTATTGTAATATCACTGCAATACATTGGCCATGGCCAGGGCTCCGACACAAGAATGTACTGGTGAATTAACCATCATGTAGAATTGTAGACTTATCTCCAACGTTGCGTTCCCGTCCCTGACTAAGTTAACAAGATGGAAAATGGAGCACAAATCACGGACAGCAAGCACAGTGCAAATTTGTGACGCTTTACACATGATAATCAACATACTCTTGTGCATTCTTTAAAGTTCGAAAGTTTTTACTTAACTACGCTTTGACGACCAATGACCATGGATCATGTATCCCCTGTAGCTTTGATCACTGCTGCTCTCACCACCACTTTCACCTGCATAACCTGATTTTTAATGGTGCTTCTGCTTTTTTCCTTTTGAGGCTCAACTATCACTGATGCTACCATTTAGAAGTGGGTCATTAATACCACGAATCAATCTCCTTGGGGGTGAAGATGTGATACGCCCACATATTCAACGTATTTCAGAGGTTTTCTAATGGCAGAAGACCAGGGAACATGCCAAATACCATGGCATGGGAGGGAAGCAAGTTCAACTGTTTAAAATCCATATTCTCTAAAGAAACAATGCACAAGCAAAAATGAAGACCCAACAAACTTCGATAGTCTCAACAGATCATCTCTTCTACATCTGCTTTAATGCCTCTTTAAGGTGCAGTGGGGTCCAACAGATAGCAACAAGCCAACAACCTAATACTAAAGTTGCAAGTCGGTGTCACACTTGGTTATTACAGGCATCATCTTCCACCCTTTCTACAGGCTCGCCCACATCTCCATCCATCATAAGTTATTCCCATCTGCCTCATTGATCTGATTACTGAGCTCCCCATCTATTCCTTGTGTCTCCAGTTTAGAGGTAGAAACAGGCTCTACATTGACAAAACCATTATTTTCAAGAGCTTCCCCTACAGGATGATCTGTATCATGCTCCTCCGTAGTTTCAGATCCTTTAGCCTCAGAAGAAAGAGAAATGCTTTGTGCATGCGCATTTGATGCCACTTCACCATCCTCCTGTGATTTTACATCATCAGAGGAATCCATTTCCATGGCTCTTACAGGCTCCAAAGTTTCATAGCTCATTAGTGAAGCCTGATTAGCTGCTTTCTCAACCAACTCTTCTGAGTGTTTCTTAGCTTCTATTTCTTCCACAATTCTGTACTGATCCATGAGCTGCCGGATCCTCTCCAGTTCAGCAACACGATCTCCATAACGTTTCTGTAGTGTTTTCTCTACCTCTTTCTGCTTCTGGACTTCTTCTCAAAGGCCCTTGATCCTAAATGAAGCTGCCATATTTTCCTGTCTCTGCAAAGCTAGGAAGCAATCCAATTCAGTCCCAGCAGTATTCATCTGTCTGAATGTGAGCTCGATTTGTGTCTTCAATTTATCAGCCCGCATCTGAAATAAATGAGCTATCACAGCTTACCATCATCATGGTTACAGATACTACTACATCTACATGTGCTCTGTATAACAAAATAACTTGTACACAAACACAAAGATGAGCAAAGGCTGGCTGTGGTCTTGACCTATAGTCAGAATGAACCAGCAAGATAATAACTAATATGGTGAACACCCCATCAGAAAGCAATAAGAATTAGAGCCATGAAGAGCATGATACCTCACATGCAAAATCATTTATATGTGATAAATCTGTTTCTATAGACACAAACAAGCTAGAAAATCAATCAATCAATCAAAGCCTTAATCCCATAAGTGGGGTCGGCTACATGAACCAAATTTAATTATTCTGTATAATCATCGACAAAGATCCTCCTCCTCCATCCCTTGCGATCCAATGCCTCATCCTCAAGCTAGAAAAGCATGCCAAAAAATTGTACATTCAAATTTTGTCATAGCCATCATATCCAAAATGCTACAAGAAATTCGCTGTACACTAACTCTTCACATCAAACTTTACACATAAAAGTAGCAGCTTCACAATGAAATAAATGTCTTCTGTCCTAATCTCCCTAATCCATAGTACTTGACTTAGTATAAAAACAATTCTATATACAATATATTTCTTGAGAGGATCCAAAGAAATTGGATTACCCTGTAATTTATCTCTTGGTTACAATGTGAAGATACATTGTCCTCTAAAGTAATCTGCTAATTGATTTATTAATATAATTTTTTCTTATTTTACAAAAAAGAAAACTATGTTGATCTTTAGATGCATAACATTTTTTCATTGGTAATCAGAAACCAAACCATTTCAATAAAACCTCAAAATTCCAAGGTAAAATGAAGAACTTTGCTGTCATCATAGTTGTTTGGCATATGTAACGTAAAAGAAAATGTGACATTTCACTAGGCAAGTACTACTCATAAAACAGGTCTGGGCTATGGCTTAAGACAGCCAGAAAGGTGATGTTCACTATAAGTACATGAAGTAGAATGTAAGAGGCCAGTGGCTCAATGACACGGTCTTTCAATCTATATGTGATGTCATGCAAATTAAAGTATGAAGTTCCTCAGCGTATGCTGTCCTTACTGAGCAACCCCAACCCCCTAACTTAACACAAAAAATAAATATAATTTTTTCATTGGTAATAAGTATGAAACAAACTGTGAATACAGAAATATCAATAAATAGAAATGTAACATAACAACCAACCTTATAACCATGAGTAAGAACATCAATCTTTTCTCAAGCCGTTGTGCCTTCTTATTATCATCATCCATCTTCCTCTTAACATTTTCAAATTCATTTTGTAAGGCAGCAAGTTTCTCTACAGTTCCAGCAACACTGGAGAGACCATAAGCATTACGAGTGGGAAAATACATCAAATCATTTAAGCAAGTCTTGTGTGCCTCAACAAAATCATCTAAGGTCTCTTCCTGATGTCCCATTGCTACTCATAGATACTGCACCTCTTCCTCAATGAATGAACCAGCCTGACATAAAAAAGTACAAGCCATTAAAACAAAAGAATATGAATTATACATATTTGATAATACTCACAACATTGAACATCAGCAAATGAGGAAACTCGCGCACTTCAATAATATTAGATATATGCAGCAAATCGTTTCACAAATAATTCACCTACTATAACCAATTTGCTTGAATGTGCACAGTGCATGGAGCACAAAATATAACTCATACTTGAGAATGGATAACGGGGAAGCAAGGGGAGGCCGGGAGGAATCAGCAATACAATTCCATCATCATACCTATATAAGTGATGCATATGATGCAGATTATTTTTTTTTTGAAAGAAGCAGTCATTAATTCTATATAAAATCCATATCTTCTCAATGATTACAGCAATGTACTTTGGCCCTGTATGGAAAAATGTAGTATCACCGGGGTTGCTGTTAGTTTCTCTGCAGTTGTGGTAGTAGCGGTTAACTGAAAACATGAGGTTAGCTGGGAAGATTGATAATTAAAGTATGTGTTCAATAAAGTAGCAGTTGACTAGTTGTTAATTGTTACCGGTAAAAAGAATCAACAGCTACTTGCCTACTCTTGCAAGATAAAAGCTACTCCACAATAATTTTAGCTTTGATAAAAGCTAACTCCACCACTAAAACTAGTTACACTACCCCTGCCACTACATTGCTAGACACTCAAATCTTTTATCAAGTAATGGTTTGATTTGGTCAAACCACTAAAAGCTACTCAAAAGCTAGTGCCAAACATGCCTTAACAGTTTACACAGCTTCCAAGTTGGGCATAATTAGAATACAGATTGGATCCATCCGTGTAGCATCTAGAATTTCAATTTACTGCATTGTGTTTAGCCAATTAGCCTGATTGAAAAGTAAACCTACCGCCCACAATCAATTTCAAAATATTGACTTTCTCTTCCTGGATAATACTAGACTTTCTGTCAGCCATCAATCACTGAGAACTCTTATACAGTAGTCACTAATGGGACAACAACAACACAATGTAGAACTCAAAGTAAACTTTCGAACGTCCATCACTCCCATGAAATGATTTCCTCTCCCCCTCATTCTCTCTCTCCGCCCTCCAATTAGATCAATTCTTCTATTTAATCACCATCTAACTTCTGCCAGTGTGAATGTGTGATTAGCATAACTAGGATATCAGCATACATGACGTTACGAAATGCATATAACTCCGGAATCCAAGATCAAATTTAGCCAAGTAACCACATAATTACACTCATGATAAATAGGATGAACTGAAAATCAATACTTGAGCTTTGAAAAACTAATGAAGAAGCACATTACAATCACCATCACCCTAACACTAATTGAACTTTAGAAAGCATAAAAATCACCAGAAACAACCTAAAATTACATAGAATTAAACCCATTTAACCAGAAAAGAGAAGATAAATTTGATGGAAAATTCATAAAAACACTGAATAATCATTCAAAAATGAGGAGAGAGAAAGTAAAGAAGATGAATACCTTCTTAATGGAAGGGTCAAGCCACTCATACCAACGAGCTTTACACTGTTTAGCAGATTTACGAACAAGAAGAGAAGAAATTCGAGCCCATTGATTCTTCCCATATTTCATAACAGCAGCTTTGAGGATTTCATCTTCAGTGTTCTTCCAAACACCTCCTTTGATCATAATCCTCATCTTGAACCCCTTTTATTAATCGGACCACAATCAAAACTGTTTTTTATTAATCGGACCACAATCAAAACTGTTTTTTATTAATCGGACCACAATCAGCGAAGTTCGAATTGAGGAAAACAGAGAATTGTTCAATGGGATTTTTCTGGGGTTTGAAGCGAATTGATGGTGGATTATTTGGGTTAATGAGCTCAGAAATTGACGGCAATGGCGGATTCAGAGGAAAGGAAGTTGGGGAAAGGAAGAGAGAAAACTGAAAAGAACGGTCATTTTTGTAGTTTTCGTTGGTTTTTCTCTTCCTCACCTTCAAATCCGGAACCGAACTCATCACAGGACACAGGGTAAGGGTAAGAAATTACTCGTGTAACAAAAATGGATCGATCAGTATAAATGGGCGCGGGTCTCATCCTAAGCATGCTTTGACTATGGTTTGACCCGTTATAGCATAAGAAGTTTATCCGTAGGTTATTGATAAGGAATAAAAGATATTCATATGATTCAACCATTAGTCTAAACTTTTGGTTGAATCGGTCCACTAACAAGGTATCAGAGCCAACGTGACATAGAAGTTACGAGTTCAAATCTCATCCACCCCTCCCTCAAAGTGAAATTAATTCGCGTTAGGTATAGGACATCATATCAAGCTAGCGAGCTCATTAGTCACCATAACACCATGTTCTATCCTCCCAGTCTCCCACAGATCCTAACATAAGAAGAATGAATATGTATTATTCCGTACTTGTATTTGGATATTTATTGCGAGTCTGGTCCGTTAATTTATATTTGAATTTGCATTCAAATACAATCAAATTAAGAAATTCTACATCAGTTTTACATTCCCGTAAAAACCCCTATGATGTTTCTATTCCAATTTGACCCATATATTAAAAAAATTTATTTTTTCAAGGAGTAATTATAAAAATCCATTAAAATTGTAATTACAAAAATTAAAAAAATCCATTAAAATTACTACCCGACAAATTTTAGAGCGATAAACCGTTTATTCAAGCCTTGACTGAAAGAGGAAAAAGAAAATGGGGTCCTTAGATCCACCCTCAAATGCACAAGGCGGCAAAACCCTAATTCACGACGATGTCGACGATAATCAGCAATCCACCGCCGACGTTCGATCGGAGCTTTCTCCGGCAGCCAACGAAGACGTCGGAAGTCCACCGGGAAACGAAGGTTTGAAGAGAAGGAAGGTTGGAGTGCTTCCTTTGGAGGTCGGCACTCGCGTCATGTGCCGTTGGCGCGACTCCAAATACCATCCTGTCAAGGTCATTGAGCGCCGGAAAGTTTCTTCCGGTGGTCCTAATGATTACGAGTACTATGTTCATTATACTGAATGTATGATTTCTCTCTCATTTGCTTTTGGATTTTTTATTTTAATTTAATTTTTGGGCGTTAATTTGTTGATTGTGGTTGAAATTAGTGTTCGATGATAGATGATTGTTCTTTGAATGTTTAATTTTCATGACAATTGAGGTTTGTTTGGTTTGGTGCTGAATCTTGTAGTTATTTGAGTATACAATTTTTTTTAAACGAAGCTGCTTATTTTTTGTTGATTCGTTGTTTAGCTTAAGAATATCGAAGACTAGATCCTGAATGCGAATTTGAATGAAACTATGTATTGGACTGCTGAATGGAAATTGATTAATGTGACTTATATGGATTATTCTCTTAATTATTTTGCTTGTATCTTTAACTCTTGTATAGGAAGAAGCTAGTGTGCGTGTTTGTAATGGAAATACGATTATGCATTTGTAATCGCTCATAGTATCTGCCCAAAAAAAAGAAAAAAGTAAAAAAAAATGAATCTCCTTTCACCAGGAAATAGATGTCATGTTTCTACTCATCATCGATAGGTATGCGCAACTTGGCTTAAATAGGCATGGAATCCAATCATTTAAATCACGAATCATAATTACGTGTATGTCCTAGAAAAAGTGTCAAATCTTTATGACATCTTGAAATGGTAAATATGTTATTTACAAACAGAGAAGCATTTATAAACCTTCCATGGACCGGATCTATGTTTATAACGCTTGGATATAAACACAGCTAACAACCTTTTTGGATAGCTCAATGGAAACATTAAAAAGGGAAAGAATTTAAGAGAGGGATTTTGGTCGTTTTTTATTATGTAAAAGTACAGAGTCTTGTTTTCTTGTTTTTTTTTTTATTTCCTCTAATTGAAAGTGAAATAGATGAATAGTCCGTCCTTACTCTCTATTTACAATCATCTTCATTCTTCACTATTATTTCCATATCCCCTTTTCACCTCTCACCAATCCTCAGTCACTTGCCACCCACCTCAACCCTCATATCTGCCGTTGACTTATTCCCTTGCTTACATTGGCAAAGAATGGAGATTGAAGTTCATTGGTAGCAAACTGGAGGATAAATTTGACCTAAAGTTCAAACTTTAAACCAAATGACATGAATTTGTTTCTCTTCCCTTTATTTGGTTAGTAGGCAAGTTTTTGACCAATCATGACCGTATGTTTGTAGTTTGGGGCACGTGGAGGGAGGAGGGTTGCATTGTAGTTTTGTCTTGGAGACATTTAAGGTGATTGTTTTTGTTGTGAGAGACTGAGAGGAGTTTAGGTTGTGTTGTTTTTGGTGTGAGAGACTATGAGGGATCAAGGCCTTTGCTTTTGTTGATGAAGGGGATGAGTATGTTGGCATCTGTTGGGGGGAGGGGAGGCTGGGCTGATTATGAACTGTGGCTAGGCGTTTTTGGGTGTTCAGTGGTTTATGGAATGACCGGATAAGGGGAATTGGAGCTAGTGGTTTTGGGAATTATTAGAAAGTTGCAAAGGAAGGGATTTGCTTCTGGTTTTGAGTTAACACAATTTTTATAAAGGCTAACCAGCTCGTCTGCACAATATCCTATTTACGCTAGGTAACCGAAAACTCAAAAAGAGAGCTGAGTGGCTGCTCTTCGTGAACAGGGGTCCATAAGTAAGCAAGTAAACTGCCGGCTTAAAATCTATTGACTAGTAAACCTGGCTTAATGAAGGAAATATCAAAGCTATCTTAGATGTGGAATTGGCTTTGTGTTGGTGTTGTGAGCAAGGGGGAGGAGTTGGAATTCATTGGATGGGTGGGCTGGGGAATGTTGTTAGGGACTGTATAAAGAGTGTGAAGCACTAAGGAAAATAAGCTGATTCCTGATTATGTCACTTCTAACCAAGCTCCAAGCAGCTCTTAGTTTGCACTTTCTTTTAGGATTTGGTGGATAGAGTGGTGGTTGGGTAGGGCGTTGGCAATATATTGTGGAGCAAGAATACATGGAATGTGCTTCAAATTGACTGCTTTCAGAGATCATTTCATCACGATTATCATACTGTCTATCTTTGATGAAGGTTGCTAATAGCATGGTCTTTTGTCATTCTTATCAGTTAACAGGAGGCTTGATGAGTGGGTTAAGCTTGATCAACTTGATCTTGATTCAGTGGAGGCTGTTGTTGATGAGAAGGTAGAAGATAAGGTAAGTCTAGTTGGATACCGCTTTTATGTACTATTGCTGTAATAGAATGATGAAATTTGCTTACCTAAAGCTTCTTAAGCCTTGCATAAGCTCTATCTCTGCTTAATGTTCTTTAGTCCTATGAAGGGTTATATCATCTTTAACTGATTATTTCCTGGCAAGCCCCCTTGTTTTTCCACTGAATTTTCTTTATCTATATACCTGCTATTCTTGTCCTTTCTCCTCCTTGGTTTTATCCCCTTTTATTGTTCTTCTTTCTCTAAAATGTTCTTTTTATCACATGTAATATATTTTGGCTTGGAATCTATTGCCTACCCTCCCCTTTTAACCTGATGAGTGGATGTTCTAACAAAGGGTTTCTCCTAGGTTACAAGCTTGAAGATGACTCGCCATCAGAAACGTAAAATTGATGAGATCCATGTGGAGGTATGTTTGATTACTGTATCTGCTGAATTCTTCATGTTATCTATGGTTAGTAGGATTGTCTTGTTCACATATGATTACGATGGAGAAGTTGAACTTAGTGAGGATATGAACATGACTGAAGTGCATCAACATTGTTCTAACTCTTTTCATGTCCATATATCTGCAAATACTGCTGCTTTGATGTGCAAACTTTGTGCTCTCTGTTGCAATGATATATTGATATCTTATGTCTATGTAAAAATAGGCAACCTAGAGGGAGTAGTGATAGGTGAACTTGGTTTGTTTATATTTTCATCATTTTTTTCTGTTTTATTACGACGTTTGCATATCTGTTAAACTTACCATTGCCTTGAATCTTGAATGAAATGTGAAGTTCATTTAAATCTTAAGATTGTATGTTAGGAAAAGCATATAATTGTGTCACGCTATATATTACATTTACTAATTTGGGAGTTTCCCTATCAAGTTGGGTTTTACTTGGGGTGCGGTGGGGGAACTATTTTATTTGGTTACAACCAAGGCTTTATCAGTTTGTGCTGAGTTATATTATACTTTAATGGCTAGACTTTGTAAGATGTCTTGGCTTTGGGATGTTCTTGGATCAGTAGGTGGTGTTTTGAGGGCTGTTCCATACTGTCAAATCGGTGGCCATGGAGAACCACAAGGGGACTGTGTTTCAATCTGAACTGACGTTTGATGGCTTTGCTTGTTACCACAGTCGTGGTCAACCCATAGTAATCAAATTGAGCCTTTTAGTCCTGAACATGGGCGTCTGTGTTCGAAGTTTAAATTATCTGCCACTTAAATTTGTTTGAAAACATTACAGATGGGTCCCTCCGTATATATATGCTGATAAAATTATTGTGTTGCTATTTTCGTTCATCAAAATTAATTACATTGTTGCTCGTCTTAGCGACTTGTTAGTTGGACTTTATGATTAAAATCTACATTGTACTTGCCAGTTTTCTTGCATCATTATAGCTATCCCATACAAATTGCTCTTTTGGTTTCTTCCTATTTTCTTTTAGAACCACATAGTTACGTCAAGGCCCCCTCACGTGTACTACATTTTACATACGATGTGATGCTGCATGCAATATCCTTCAGACTTTTCATCTCCGTGCTTGTCAATATTAAGGATATCAGTTGGGTTTAGTTTATATAGTATGCGATTTATCTTACTATGTAGTTTATATAGTGTGTGATTTGTCTCACTATGTTTATGGGATAACCTTAAACATAACAACGTGATGAAGTTGTTGTAGAGACCGGACTTAAATCTACATGTAAATACTGTGCTTTGATGGCCTGTCCTGTATAAGTCTGTACTTGATACTAGCCAGTGAGTGTTAGAATTGTTTGGAGGAATTGAATTTTACCAGCTCAGCATATAAAAGCTTGAGCAGTTAGTAGTATCATTAGTTATGGTGACATGTATTCAGAATTTTTTTTGATCTCCACCATTGGTCAGTGGAGTTTAGGATGAATTGTTTGCCATAATAGGATGAAAATAGGATGAATTGTCAGCTCTCATGCCTAGGTTTGAAATTTTGAATATTTTCTGCTCAAGGTATGTTGTGCTTATGAGGCTTTCAATACTTAATGTTCAGGGTCATGAGGAGCTTGATGCGGCAAGTTTACGCGAGCATGAGGAATTTACAAAAGTAAAAAATATAGCAACTATTGAACTTGGTAGATATGAGATTGAGACTTGGTACTTCTCTCCCTTTCCACCGGAGTACAATGATTGCGTGAAGCTGTACTTTTGTGAATTCTGCCTCAATTTCATGAAGCATAAAGAACAATTACAGAGGCACATGGTAAGCTTTTTCCTACTCACTTTCGGTTTTTATGTCGCTAGAGAAGGGATTGCAGGATTGGAATTGGTTTGTTAATTTTACTTTGATTTAAATAGAAGAGTCAGCCTTCAATATGGTGTCTAATAATTTTGCATTTAAACCCATGACCTTACACGGGTATGGCTGTATGGAAAGATAAATGAAGGTATACAACAACATAGTTCTGGTTTTTTGGAGGATAGATTGTGTGTCTGTGTTGTTTTGCTATTGTTACTTTTGCTTGCTCTTTTCCTTTTGTCCCCATCCAACCAAAAAAACCCAGGTCATTGGCAATATAATCATATACCTCCACTGTTCGAGTAATATGGTAACAAGGATGAAATTACGCATCCCAAAGCACATTTTGTATGTTAAATATCTGTATTTGTAATTATATAAAAGTTGATATTATAAGTATAATACGAGACGAATATAGCAAGACTCTACAAGACATTTTTCTTAACATATGAATAATAATATGTGGTCAAGCAAGAGTGATGAATAGTGCCAAAATCCAATTGTTGCAAAATTACTAAAATGGTGGAAGTATACTTAAACGTTGAGCTGGGCTGATGTTTCTTTTGTTAATGTATAACGATTTTAAGGGTTTATTTTTGTAATTGGGAATTTATTTTATATATATTATGATTGTACATCTGGTGACTTCTGATCTGTGATTTCTTTTGTTATTTGCTGAATTGTTGAAATTTTCTTGTATTACGTGTTTCCCATCTTCTGCAACTTACTTACAAGTACCAACGGTGGAGGTGTTACCTGGATCAGTTATCATGGTTTGTTGGCTTGGAAGTCTTTCTAACTTATCATATAAGACCATATGTTCATGGCTGTGCCACCTGAGTTTGTATGTAATCATCTTTAGTTATGTACTTTTGTCTCCATAGTCAATTTTGTTTGCTTCTTTTACGAGGTCATGGTCACCATGATATTCAAGGTAGAATGTGTTTGATGACTGACTGGTCAGTCATTAGTTTCTGAATTCATGATCGGTTTGGTTCTGCAACTTTTTTTTTTGGCATTTTTTTGGTTCCAATTTACTCGTGTTTCTTTACAATCATTTTCATTCGTGGACTTATCAGTAATTCGTATCTAATTTGCTGCTGTTATCTGAGAGATACATGTGAAAATATTAATGTTAAATTTTCCCTTAAATGCCATTCCCTAATTTTTTTATCCGACCTTTTTTTCTGGCAATATCGATCTTGTGCTCTAAATGTCTGATAAATTTATTTCTGGTTGCAGAGAAAATGTGATCTTAAGCACCCCCCTGGCGATGAGATTTACCGGAGTGGAACTTTGTCAATGTTTGAGGTCTGTCTCTCTCTCCCTCCCTCCCTCCCTCCCTCCCTCCCCTCTGTAGTCTCTCCTTATCTCCCTGTTTTGGTTTCCTTCTCTTGGGTAAGGGAGAGTGAAATTGAAGAGATTATGAACTTTGGTTGAGTGAGATTTTAGTATGTTAATTCTTTCTACACAACTTGTGTTCTGATTTTCACATCATTTCGATGCTTTATACAGATTGATGGCAAGAAAAACAAGGTTTATGGGCAGAATCTTTGTTATTTGGCAAAGTTATTTCTTGATCACAAGACGCTTTATTATGATGTCGATCTTTTTCTATTTTATGTTCTCTGTGAATGCGATGATCGAGGTTGTCACATGGTTGGCTATTTTTCGAAGGTAATGCTTTGCTATTTTATTTGTAACTGTTAGGAAGCTTCTTCTTTTGAGACCCTCTAGTCTGGCTTCACTTGTTTGACAACTTATCTTTGGCTTCACTTGCTAACTATGTAGGAAAAACACTCAGAGGAATCTTATAATTTGGCTTGTATTCTTACTCTTCCTCCTTACCAGAGGAAAGGCTACGGCAAATTCCTTATTGCATTTTGTAAGCCTCTGCCCTTATCAATTTCTCTAGTAATTTTTGCTCTTTTAGCCATATCCTGTTCATTGCTTCTAAAGTTGCAATGCAGGAAGGGCTGTTACGGTCTTATTCACAATAGGGAATCTATACTTGGCATTTTACTAATGTATGCATAGCCATTTTTCACTTTGTTGCTAACATCAGCTGTGGATGCAACAGCTTATGAACTTTCTAAGAAAGAAGGTAAAGTGGGCACACCTGAAAGGCCACTCTCAGATCTGGGGCTGTTGAGCTACAGGGGATACTGGACACGTGTTCTTTTGGATATCTTGAAGAAGCACAAGGGAAACATATCTATTAAGGTTTGTAGAATGAAAACCTTTTTATCTCATTGTTTTGTAGACTTGAAACTTCTTAGGGTCCCTGTACCCCTATTTTAGTGATTTGGGCTAAAACTTTTGCACTTTTGTTTTCCTGCTCAATTGACTGACGAACATTTGGTTTCTTGTTCTGCAGGAGCTCAGTGACATGACAGCCATCAAAGCAGAGGATATTTTATCTACTCTCCAGAGTCTGGAGCTGATCCAATATCGCAAAGGGCAGCATGTTATATGTGCAGATCCAAAGGTTTTGGATCGTCATTTAAAAGCTGCTGGACGCGGTGGTTTGGATGTGGATGTTTCCAAGCTGATCTGGACTCCTTATAAGGAGCAAGGCTGATGGCTTCTCTTCATTGCCCCCCCTCGTCAGCTAGCTAATGTAAATGTTCAATTAAAATTCAACTAGTAGTAACTTAGAAATCGAGCTTAGTTGTTTTACTACTGACCCATGTAATATAGGTTCGAATAATGTATGTAATAGTATTTTGCTGATAATCCATCCATCTGTTGCTTTCAGATTCAATATAATCTGTTTGCCCGAGTTCCATTTTTTTTTTATTATTATTTTTCTTCAGTTTAGATTATATCATCACTCTATTAAACTGTTTCAAAATGCTAAAGTTTAGGTTATGTTCCTATCAACTGACATTTGCTATACTGAAAAATTATCCTGTGCAATCTATTTCCCAACAGATTTGCATATCTGCATTACTAGTACATAACAATTGATAACATGTTTGAAATATAAAAAAATACAAATTAAAGAGCACTGCATTACTAATAAAAACTTGAATCAGTACTTTCGGTAAAACTATATATTGCAAAAGAGCAAAACCTATTCAAATTAAAGGGAAAAAATCAACCAACTATTGCATTTACAACTTTATATCCATCCAAATTTTTGTCTCTCAGAAGTCATACAGTAGTTGACTGAAGTAATAAAGTACAACTCTGTTGAGAAACTTGAAGCTGTAAACCCTTCAATGGAGCTCCACCTGATCTTCTCTTCCACAAACTCGCATTTTGGCTATTATTTTTCTCCTGCTGCTGCTTCTGCTTCACTACTGGCAATGGCGGATCCAACTCTACCAAATTTACCAAACAACCCTTATTACTTTCATTATTATTACCACAATTCCCTTCATTCTTGGATCTAGATATTATAATACCATGATCATCTCTTACACTTCTAGTATTTAACCTTGTTCCTCTACTCCTAATACTATTATTACTACTATTATTACTATTTATAGTACTTCTTCCTGCAATGATCTTCCCTTTCCTAGGCACGGCAGCAGCGGCGATGGCGGTTTTTGGGCTGCTAGTGAGGCTTTTAGTAGAGAAGAATCTTATAAGGTTATGATACTTGACAATACTGTTGCTGCTGCTGTAGTTGCTGCTCATCTGATCACTTTTCATGTTGTTATTGGGACTACTAGTATTACTAGTACTAAAACCACTAACAAAACTCATATTTGGAAATCCAACCACTTTGTTGTTCCTCTTCACTTGACCCATGCATCCAACTCTAGGGGACAAAGGTTCATCGGAGACAGTGGAGGAGGAGGAGGAAGAGGTGGAGGCGTTACGCCGGTGCGAAAGCTTAATGACTTGTTTGGTTGATGAAGAGCATAACATTGGCAAGAACTTGCTCCTTTGATGGTGATGTTGTTGTTCATATTCTTGTTGAAGTTGTTGGTGTTGGTTGTATTTGTTTCTCATTATGCTTGAAAATGTTTTTTTTTTTTTTTTTAATGTTATCAAACAAATTGGAAAAAACCAAATCCAATATATTGATGAAGTTTTTGTCAAATTTTATGTTTCTCTAATCTAATCTATGAACAAGAAAGGAAGAATGAAAGGAAAAAAAGAGGGTAGAGAGAATATGGGAAAGATTGTGAAAATGGTGAGATTTGAAGAAAAAGGGTGTAAAGGTGAGTGAATTAGATGTGAAACAGTGAATGGAAAAGTGGGGGCCAGCTGATAGGGGGGGAGACAAGTTAACCAATTTAATAATACAATGAATTAGTCAATCTCGCTAATCTCTACACTGTTACATTGCTGTTAATTAATTGGGCTGACTCTCTGACCGCGTTCATTTTTCAAATCGTAATCAACCATTTTTTTTTAATTAATGAATAACGATTAGTCGATTGCCTCCTTATTTAATATTTGTCCCATTTGTCCTTTTACATCTTTTCAAAAATTTATGAAAAAAAACAAAAAATGACTCTAGTAGTTCTTAGTTTCCACCTCATATAATAATAAGCTATTTTAAATCTGTTGAATGATAGATCTCAACTTGTTCCTGTTAAAACATTAATGATTATAAGATTGTCCGACTAATAATTATTAACCTTATAAAGTACGAGTAACTTTTTATTTTTATTTTTGTGATATATGTTTTACTAAAATTTATCTCTTGAATGTTTTGGACACGACACCAAGTTACTAATTATCCAAAATGATGAAAGAGTAGCCATGAAGGCCCATAATCCATGATATAATTGAAGAAAATTAAAAACAGAATTAATCCATGATCTAATTAAACAGACACGGTAAAAGTAAAAATATCATGGGTAAAAAATTGAAAGTTAAGGGACCATGACGTTGGAGACTGCATTAATTTGCCTGACTGCCAAATACTTGTGCCAAATTCTTTTTTCTGGAGATTAACATGACATGAAGCAATCAAATTTTAATACTGTCATTAATGCTTGAAATAAACAATTAAAAAGTGTAACAGCAAAGGTAAAATTTGTTTTACATATACTTGGAAAAAAGATTCAATTTTTTACTGGTACTTTAATAATGTACTTGTAGTGTGTTTTTTTTTTACTGCTCTGCTCTCTTTGTTGCAGGGAACGTACGCATGGCATGCAGCATGATGCCATCACAAATAATTTAATATACTGGCCTACTACTACTATTATGCTTAATTATATGCCATCAAAATTAGATCAAATTTTTTTAAATTCAAAGTTTTTGGGAAATTGTAATGGAATGCCAAGCCCACCTTATTTCAAAATTTTAATCATAGCGTTAAATTTTGTGTGTTTGATTTCATGGGGCATGCGTCATTATGTAACACCAAACTCGATCTTATTACAAGTATGTTTCAGTACGAATTGCTTATTAGTAAAACAAAATAAAATAAAATACTATCTTCGTTTCTTTTTATGTTTTATTACATATATTACATTTGATGTTTTTTTTTATGCAATGAAGCTAAAATGAGAAAAATCTAAATAAAATTTATGTTAGAGTTATATTTACGTAATATATATTTTAAGGATAATTATTCTTGTAATAGTAGACATCGAAAATCATTATCGTTTGTTTGGGTCCAATTTAGTTCAATTGGGCCTAAGCACTAAATGATCCAATTAAAAGCCCAAGGTCAAGGTTCAACTCTCCAATTGTGCTAAAGTCAAAGGTCAGCCCACAAAGCAAGCCAATTGGGCTAAGGCCCAACCTCTCCATGTATGATGAGGTATAAAAGCCATCATATTGATACATTCAAAAAGGGGGGATTCTGATTCATTCATAGATTCATATGTTCATTCATATATTCTGATATATTCCATAAAAGCCTCAAGCAACAAACTCTCTTGCATAGTGTCTTCTTCTTACACATTGTACTGACTTTAGCATCGGAGGGGCCTTCCTCGGCAACACCCCCGAGGCTAGTTTACGTGTGTTTACTGTGCAGGAAATCTTCGGCCCAACATAACTTGGACCGAATCCAGCCTTCTCCATTTCAGCGGACCTTCGGCAAGGTCCCATTGTTTTCACCCGAAACAATTTGGCGCCGTCTGTGGGGAAGACTTTCAAAAATCTTTAAGCCAAATTCCTAACCAAGATCATCTTGCAATTATCTTAGCAGCAATGGCTAAGAACCGCAAGAGCAAAAGCCTCCGTCAAGGAGCGGGCGAAAAGCCTAAAACCCCTACACCATCGCCCTCGCCGGACCGGAACTCTCCCAAGGGTGCCGGCTCGGGGGGAGGATCATACAAGGAGGATTCCCTATCTCCCGTAATTCATGACTCTCAATATAGGCCGGGCCACTCTCGGTCTAGCAGGGGTCAGTCCGATCATAGGACATATTCAGTGTGCCAAAGCCAACCATCGGCTGCGCGCCCTCATTCCCACACTCGGCCGAGGACCCCTTTGACGGGGCCCAGCTCGGAAGAGGTGGCAAGAGCGCTGGCAGTACTCATGGAGGCGATGAGGGCACAAAATATGCCACCACCTCGTGATCGAACTCCTCCGCATACCCGGCATCAGCGGAGGAAGTTAGACCATGATGGTGGGAAGCTTCCTTCCTTCCAGGAACTGGAAGAGTGGGAGGAGGATTCTTGGAAAAATGAAAAACAGAGGAAAAAGAACCCTCAATTTTTAAAAGGATCCTCATCCTCAAGACCAGAAGCGCATAAGAGCAGCAGCTCAGCTTCTCGGCCAGAATCTACTCACCGAGAACCTGAGACTGTTCGCAGAAGCGTCCTTGACCGACTCGGCGGCCAGGAACCGAGCGTGCGTAGTCGCCTCTCGTTCCCTGCAGCCGAGGCCCAGACTTCCCAGCCAGGGACGAAAACCACTCCTACCTCTCTAAGAGGGCGGAGCGCGGTCCCTTCGGCCAGGAACAAGGGCAAGGCCGTTATGCTACCCGCTAGTTCACCATTCGAGCAATGGATACTGGAAGAGCGCGTACCCACGGTTAAAATCCCTTCGCACATCACATATGACGGGACCACGGATCCGAAGGACCACGTGGCCTCGTATGAGACTCATATGCATCTTTGCCCCAGATCCGAGGCGACTTGGTGCAAATATTTCCCAACCACTCTCAAGGGGGTCGCGCAAGCGTGGATCTCCAAGGGAGTAAGGCAAGGCTCCGTAACAGGGTGGGATGATCTGTCCTCCAAGTTCAGGAGCAAGTTTTCCACGGCAAACCGCCGAGAGAAGACTACCGCAGAGCTCATGAGTCTGCAACAGGGGGAAACCGAAAGCCTCCGAGACTACCTGACCCGTTTCAGTAACGAGTCATCAAGCGTCTCCTAGCTGGACCAGGGGCTAGCCGTTTTCGCAATGCAGAATGGCCTTCAGCCAGGAAAGTTCCTAGACTTCATGGTCATGCATACCCCGCAGACTTTGGAGGAAGCTCTTAGTGCTTCAGATAAGTTCATCCGAGCCGAAGAATGGAACAAAGCGAAAACCCAACCTCAATCCGGGGGAGGGAAACAGAGGCAAATACCCTTGTCTGAAGGCCAAGGCCATAAGGCAAAGGGAAAGTCAAAGGCCCCGGAGCAATCTTTGGCCAACGACCCAAAGAAGGAAAGATTTGCCTCATACACAGGCAGATACGAGTCCTACACTCCGCTCTCTCTTCCACGCGCCAAAATTTACAGTGTGACGAAGGAGGAGCAGAGTTACCGAAAGCCGAGACCACTCCCAGAGTGGTATCAGCGAAAAAATAAAAATCAGTGGTGTGAGTTCCACGAGTCTTCGGGCCACAACACTGAGGAGTGTATCCAACTGAAGGACCAGATAGAGGACATGGTCCGGAAGGGATACTTGAAAAAATACATCGCGGATCACCGCGAGAAAAAAGAATCCGAGAGGTCAGCAAAGGACCCTCGGCAGGACCTTGATTTCCCCCGGAAAAACAGTAAAAAGCCGGAGGGGAAATTCCCTCCGATCAATGTTATCTCGGGAGGAATATACTCTCGGAGGGAGCACAAGCGCCACCTTAGAGCTTTGACTCACCAGGTGAACAACGCTGACATTCAATCTCCCCAGTCGCCGGTGCCGAACATGACGTTCACAGCCGCCGACTGCCGGGGGATTACGTTCCCTCACGAGGATCCGTTGGTGATCATCGCCACGGTGGCCAACCACGACGTCAGTAAGGTCCTTGTTGACGGTGGCAGTGGAGCAAACATTCTGTTCCGAAAGGCCTACAATCAAATTAAGCTGAAGCCCAAGCACCTTACGCCGGTACCCTATCCGGTATCCGGGTTCAATGGGGCTTCAACTTATCCAGATGGGAAGGTGACACTTCCTGTCACCATCGGTTGCGATGAGGCAGCCCGGAACGTCATGATTGAATTTTCGGTCATCGACGCTCCTTCAGTGTACAACGTGATTTTGGGGAGACCCATAATTCACGAGATCCAAGGGGTCGTCTCAACTTATCATCAGCTGATGATTTACGTCTCAGACGCCGGCTTCCCCGAAAGGATACAGGGCAACCAAAAGGACGCCCGAAGGTGCAACTACCTCAAGCCATCCAGTAGTCGCCCAGATGACGACAAGGATGAGGAGGAGAAAGAAAAAGAAAGAGAGCCAAGCACAAAAAAGCCGAAAGGCCTAAGTGCTTCGGCCCAAGGATCTGTACCCAGAGGTAAAGGGCCCGAAAGGGAAAAGGCTAGCTCCTCAGCTGAGCCGCAAGACTCAGAGAGCCAGCCGAAGAACAAAAAGACTGGGACACCTGCTGACATTGGCAGCAGGCCAGATAATGAAGAGTCCAATCCATCAGCAATGGACATGGACCAACAGACTGAAACAGTTGAGTTGGCCGAAGGAGACGCTGAGAAATGTGTAACAATCGGGATGGACCTTGATCCGAACACCCGTTGCGAACTTATTCAGCTCCTTCGGGATAACAGAGATGTGTTTGCTTTCTCGGCAGCTGATATGCCCGGGATAAGTTCAGACCTCATCTCCCATAAGCTTAATGTTGACCCGACGTGTCGACCAGTTAAGCAAAAGAAGCGGAATTACTCCGCCAATAAGAACCGAGACATCGCAGCCGAGGTTCAAATTGTTATTCAATGAAGTCCAAATGGCTAGAGGAGCTCCCTGGAACCCTTTGGTCCCTTCGGACAACTGAAAAAGAGGCAACGGGCCACTCACCTTTTGAACTGGTGTATGGTGCCGAAGCCGTCCTTCCAGTGGAAATTGGCTCTGAGAGCCTTCGAGTGCACCACTTCTCGGCTGAGAATGAGCGACTGATGAGGGAATCTCTTGATTTCCTCGACGAAGAAAGAGACTCAGCCCGAGATAGAATGGCCGCCTATAAGCAGAGAATCAGCAAATTTTATAACCGAAGGGTCCATGCAAGACCTCTCAAAATTGGAGACCTAGTCCTTCGGAATGCTGCTGCAGTTCAGAAAGGCCGAATCCATGGGAAACTCTCAGCTGCATGGGAAGGACCTTATGAAATTTATGATGAGCTTCGGCCAGGGACATACCGACTTCGGCAGTTGGATGGAACTGAGTTGAAAAATCACTGGAACGCTGATGTACTGAAAAAATACCATGTGTGAACCCTTCGGGGCAGAACAATCTTTGTAAGTACATTTTGAACTAATGAAAGGCCTTGGAGCCGCCATTTATATAAATGTTTACAACTTTTTATCCTTTCAAAATTTTCTTTGTTCTATCTACTCTTTAAGGGTTTTTTTATTCAGCCTCGTCTGAAACCTTCGCCTTCGGGTAACT